CATACAAGTACATGGATAAATATTTGTACAGAATTTAAAGAACTTCATACCTACATAGTGAGACACGAAAATCTATACCGAACATAGGTGGTATTGAATTTTCATGTGTGCTACTATACTCCGGTCCAAACTTAAATCATACATAAAGGACCTCATAATCAATGTTCCGAAAATCTAACGTACGTATATAATCCCATAAAAATACTTATATACTTATCATATCTTGTGAAAATGATAAGAGAGACTGGAATATATTTGTGACTTCAATTCCTGACCCACATACTAAAGAATATACTATATTTGTATTTGTTTGTATTTAAAGGAGAAATGAATGTACTTGAAAATGGAACATATGATACCTGTTTATAGGGTCCACCATGCTTTGAGAGTTCTAATTTAATTGAAATTTGAATCTTAAAAGTGATAGAATCTTATCGTCATCTCAATGATATTTTGGCTAATGGGATAAGAAAATGAATTTAAAATAACAAAAAAAAAAAAAAAAATTATCTCCCTAATTTTTAAAATTAAATAAAGTAGAGACCAAATCAAAATATTATCTTAATAATTTAAAATTTCAATTTTAATTAAAAGAGATAAAATTGAAACATTATCTCAATTATCTTTTAAAATTAAATAAGATATAAATAAAATCACAATATTATCTCAATTGGAACTTGATTTTATCTCAATCATTTAAAATTTCGATTTAGTTGAAAGAGATAAAATTAAAACATTATCTCCATTATTTAAATTAAAATTAAATAAGATTTTAACCACTTGGGCTTAAGCCCAAAAGGAACAATAAAAACAGAAGGTTTGGGCTATCATTTCACACAATGAACTTTCATGTAACTAACCAGTCTAAAAAATTAATTGTCTATTTTTTATAACGGGCCAAACCAAAATTAATAAAACTAGGCTATATGTACAGGTGTTACATCTTATGTATTCAAAACAGATTCATCAACACACATAATATCAATTCCAATAATATTCTCTAAAGTTCTCTCTTACTAGGAAAAATGTCAAATATATCATCTTGTGATTGGATATCCACTCAAAATTTTACTTATGAACAAGTACCATTTCGACTGTCATGTGTATATCATAGCTATACATCTCGTTTTTAATAGACTCCCGTTTCCAAACTCATTATCAAGAATTTATATAGTCGATTATGAGTCTAAGATAACTCATATTTGTTTATGTACGTATTCAAAACTTATATATTATGAAAGTACTAACATTGAGAGAACTCCATTGAGTGAAACGTTGTAGTTAACTAATACTCTTTCCAAAAGAAAATGTCAGTAATATTTCATTATTCTTTCCCAATAGACCATATAATTATTGGTGATCAAGGAATATTCAATCCAATAAGAATTTCTCTTTCATTACTTCGATAATTGATCTCTCATGATAGATATTCACACTCTCAAATAGTTCTCAAAGTCTTCACTTTCATAGTATGATTTTCTACTCCCTTTCAATAAGTTTAAATCAATACAATATTTTCAATTTATGAAAAGCATAGGCACAACTCATGAACGTATATAAACGTGATATTTTAAATACTTTTAGAGTATTTTTCATTTTCAAAAAAAAATAAGAGCTCTTCAAAAAATATATCTACTAGCAAAATACCACTTAATAAATATTCTTGATTTTATAAAAAAAAAAAAAATCAGAATTTACTCAAATTAAAAAAAATATTTTTAATAGTTTTACAAATTTATTTTTAAGTATTAAATACAAAAAAATATTTTTCACTATCCAACAATTAATTTAATCATACTGAACAATAAAAAATAATTCAGGGACCAATTTGCAATTTTATTTAGAATTGCAATCAGATCCCGCAAGTGCCTTCACACACGGGATCAATCTACCATTTTTTCTAAAAATTAATTATGTGGGGAGTTTAGAGAGTTTATGGGGAGTTAAATGTTTGAATTCCAAGTTCAAACCATTTCTTCCTATCCACTTTATTGCCTTGAGGGTTAGGTCACCCCACCGCCATCTCGCTTCAGCTAGAAGTAGTGGCTCTAAGCGCCCCTGATCTTAGTCGCGACACTCAGTTCGTCACTACAGTGGCAAACCGACAGCGATTTTATATTATTTTGTGATGGTTTGTGGCGATTAGTGGTGGCTTTGTAGTGGCTTTGTGGTAGTGCTATCGGTGTTTTATGGTGGTTTTGCTTTGCTGTGGTGTGGTGTGGTGTGGTGTGGTGGCGATTTTGTACGGTCCGATGATGGCGGTGGTCATGGCGGTAATGTTGCTGTCGAGAGGTGGTGGTGGTGCTAGAGGCAGTGATGATGGTGGTGTTTTTGTTACACATTGTAAGGCGATTTAGGTTGGTGGTACAGGTGGAGGTGTTGATGGAGGTGGCGGTGGAGGACTTGATTATTTGTTGGTAGGGTGATGGCTGTGGTGTGGACCGTGTAGTAGTTTTAGGAGAGGGGGTGGATTTTGGCAGGCGACGGTGGTGCAGTGGTGCGGTGGAAGGTGTTGTGGGTGCGTTCGTGGTGCTGTGACCAACAAATTTAAAAATCTGTTGCCTGTAATTTTTTTATTTGTGACCAATAAAAGAAACAGTGACCTATAAAAAATTTGATTTGTGATATCGAAATAATCTGTGACCTATAAATTTTTTGATTCGTGACCTTGAAATGATTTGTGACCAATTAATTTGATAATACGTGATTAGTATATAAGCTGTGACCTATAATTATGTATATGTGACCATTAATTGTATAATTGTGACCTAATTAATAAATATTTTTAATTAATTATCTAATACTTGAATTTTGAATTTTCAAACTATAAACCTGATTTGTGAATTGGTGTATTTTTAAAACCTGATTTGTGAATTGGTGTAATTTTTTTTTACGTATTAGCCCGGCCTGTAATCCGGTCTTGGATCCGTCCCTGCGACCCACGACCATTATTTTCCAACAATTTCTAATAACATCGATTTCTTGGTTAACTTTCAGTTCTTCTGCATTGGCTAACTTTCAAGCTTCCTTAGTTTATTTGTGTCAACTCATTTCATGGATAATCAATTTATTATATTGTTTGTGCTAATAAAAATATCTACACTCTTATTCCAGAATTTTTTTTGGACTTCGGATTTTTAAAAAATAGAAAGAAGATCTATGTCCTCCCTGTCAATTGGAAAAGGGAATTCATAAATGTCCTCCAAAATTAATTACTGACCTCCATGTCTGTGAAGTAGTTCATTGCTTAATGTTCATGAATTCGGTGCTTTGAATTCAAGTCCCTCTTGAGAAAAGTTGAGATGGGGAAGTCATCTATATGTTAACACCTTATATAAATAAGCGTTAATCTGTATTAAATAAATGCGGAAGTCCCAACAAATATAAAGTTCCTGGATACTGCACCATATAGAAATTCTAGATTTCCTCTTTTTATAGAACTGCACAGTTTCTCGTTTTTCTTTAGTTTCTCTGTTATGAAATTATATATATTTTTTTTAAGATGTTGGGATAAGAAGAGACTACATTTGCTTTCCACAAAGTACGTGAAAGATTGTCATTGCATTGTTGTTTCCTTACATTTACTTTCTTGTTTCTTGGGGTTCACTAAGTAGGCGTCTTTTGTCTCTCCTCCTCTCCCTCTCTCTTCCTCCTTTCTTCTTCCCTCAAGGATGCTTCAGTGCTGTTTTCCTAAAACTAAAGTTGGAAATTAAAATTTCTACAGATAGGTTATACTTTGTATAAAAGCAGATCGTGTTGCACTTATAATTATTATTTCCTGACCAAACTGTAGTTACCATTCAGCCATATGGGAAAGACAATTCAGGTATCCGGCTTCCCTTATCTTGTTGCTGCCGAAACAGTTAAGACATTCTTGGAGCAATATACGGGCCAAGGAACTGTAGATGCCTTAGATGTAAAGCAATCTAAAGGAGGGCGAGGGCGAAGGGCATATGCCAAAGTTCAATTTGAGAATAGCACGCACGCTGATAGAATTTTAAATTTGGCAAAAACAAACCGCCTACATTATGGTACTTCTTATTTGAAGGCTTGGGAGGATATTGACATCATGAAAAATCTTAGAACATACATGCATGAAATGGAACGTGTAACTTTAAATTTTGGATGTCAAATATCGAGAGAGAAGTTTTCCGTGCTATGGAAAAACACAAGTGTTTCCGTTAAATTTGGAATTGGTCTCAAGAAAATGTTCTTCCTTTTCTGCTATAATTCTGTTGAATACAAGCTTCAGCTCTCGTATGAGAACATATGGCAGATTGTCCTATATTGTCCACCAGGTCAAACTACAAAGCTTCTCCTCATACAGGTTTGTTTATTTACTTTTAATAGATAATATTGTCATATCCCTAATTCCGTATGAATTAGCCATGTTTTTATATTTGACCTCTGTTGGTATTCTTGGGTGGGCTATAAGCTGGACTAACATGCTTATAAGCAAATTACCAAACTTGTTTGGACTTTAAAAAAGCTTCTTTTTTTGGCAAATGATGCAAAATAAGTTGATGGAAAATAAGCACGAGTGGTGGTACTTTTTTGATTGGCTAGAGCTTTTTTTTTTGCTTGAAATAATATTAGCACAAATTATCCAAACTTGAAGTCAATTCCATTATTATTATTATTATTTTGCTTAATATGCGTATCTTTTTTTCTAAGCCCATCCAAACAGGCTCATCTATCGATTATATTTAATTTAGGATTTTTTGACATGAGCTGGTGGTTTGGTTTCTTCAAATGTGATACTATTTAGGAGTAACTAATCTGAGGAGTGGTTAAAGCAATAATGCATTTTTTTTTTAAATTTAATTTATCACTTAGTTCATGATTGGTTTGAGATTAAACTTATAGGTTACCCTGTGCTCTTGATGATGAGGCTGTCTTTATTTCTTTTCGGTTCGAAATGTTTGCCCTTTCAAAGTTTAGGCACTAGCTATTGCAGCACACAGTGAATTTGTGCAAATAAAAGAATTGTTAATAAAGAATCGTTCTTAGTTACATATAAATATCTAGCCTAGATGCTGTCATTTCTTTGTTTCCTGACACATACCTCCTTACAAATAATGAATTTTTAATACCATTCGGTACTGGGAGTCTAGTTTATTTCTGCATGGAGAAAGATTTTGCGTCACCAAGTGAAGGTAAACCTAGCCCGACACCTGAATTTTACTCTGAGCACGACAGAGAAAATCTTTGATGGTCTCAGCATTCCATTATTTTTAGATTCTCTGAATCTGGAAGTAGATATTTTTGTCTTCTGTTTGTTTCTAATATAATTTGGGGTTACTAAACTACCAGTTGAGAAAAACAGTTTGCCTATATTGTGGTATCATACTTCATCTTCTCATACACTTTGCACCAGAATGTTTTCACTATGCATTTTACAAAGCTGCTACAATTCTACCTTCTCATTTTCTATGTGAAAGATAGAAATGAATACTGATGAATGTTTCTCTCTTTTATTGTGTAGTTATTTGGTGCTCCCAAGATATACAAGAAGCTTAATGAATCTGTTTATAGCTATTTTAAGGACACTCCTGATGATCAATGGATCAGGACAACAGATTTTACTCCATCATGTATTGGACAATCTTCTGGCTTGTGTTTGCAGCTCTTGTATGGCATCAGACTTCCAAATTTCGCAGATAATTTTACTTACTACAGGGAAAGTGTAAGCCAATTCAGTTTGGAGACTGGCTCTCCCTTTTGTCACAATTCATCCCTAGTTCCCATTCTTAATCCTCCTGAAGGAATTGAACTGCCATGTAATATATTGTTTAAGATTTGTAATTTGGTGCAAAATGGATGTCTTCCGGGGCCCAACCTAGGTGCCAATTTTTTTAGGTTGGTTGATCAACAGAGAATAGACATTGGGTATATAGAGTATGCTCTAGAGAAACTTTACAATTTAAAGGAATGCTGCTATGATCCTGTGAGCTGGCTCATGGAGCAATATGAGAAATACCGCAAGATGGGAAGTCCACCAAAATCACCAGTTATTACTTTAGATGATGGACTGGTATATGTACGTAGGGTTCAAGTAACTCCAAGCAAAGTGTATTTCTCAGGTCCAGAAGTGAATGTGTCAAACCGCGTGTTACGCCATTATCGAAAAGATATCGATAATTTTCTTCGTGTTTCTTTTGTAGACGAAGAGTGGGATAAAATGTATTCTACTGATCTATCCCTCAAGGTTGCTTCTGGGAATGAGAATATAAGGACAGATATTTATAATAGGATATTGTCAACACTAAGAAATGGAATTGTTATAGGTGATAAGAAATTTGATTTTCTTGCATTTTCCTCAAGCCAGTTGCGGGATAATTCTGTTTGGATGTTTGCTGCAACGGCTAATGATAATGTTGATGATATCCGTAGGTGGATGGGTGACTTTCGTTCCATTAAAAATGTGGCAAAATATGCTGCCAGACTTGGTCAATCTTTTGGATCCTCCACAGAAACTTTGAGTGTTGATGAGGATGAGATTGAAATTATTCCTGACATAGAGGCAATAAGAGGGGGAATCTTTTCTGATGGAATTGGGAAGATATCTACTGAGTTTGCTCGGAGGGTTGCCATAAAATGTGGACTTAAAAATTCTTTTCCTTCAGCCTTTCAGATCAGGTATGGTGGCTACAAAGGGGTTGTGGCTGTTGATCCCTCTTCACGAAGGAAGTTATCATTGAGACCGAGCATGTTAAAGTATCAGTCAGACAACACAAAATTAGATGTTTTGGCATGGAGTAAATATCAACCTTGTTTCCTGAATCGCCAAATTATCTCTCTTTTATCTACTCTAGGAGTTGAGGATCATGTCTTTGAGAAGAAGCAAAGAGAAGCAGTAGCTCAGCTGGATACTATTTTAGTTGATCCATTGAGGGCAGAGGAGGCATTGGATTTGATGTCTCCTGGAGAAAATACGAACATTCTGAAGGAAATGCTGAGATGTGGTTATCTGCCTGACAGTGAACCATTTCTCTCGATGATGCTACAAACTTTTCGCGCATCAAAGTTACTAGATTTGAGGGTGAAATCAAGAATATTTGTTCCACAAGCTAGACAAATGATGGGATGCCTAGATGAAACTGGAAGTTTAGAATATGGCCAGGTGTTTGTTCAGTTTTCTGGTGCTGGTCGTCGACGATTCAATGAGGATTTCCTTCGATTCCATGGGAATAAGTCAGATGACTATAATCACATTGTTCAGGGAATGGTTGCTGTTGCCAAAAACCCATGCTTGCACCCTGGTGATGTTCGCAGATTAGTGGCTGTTGATGTGCCAGCATTGTACCACATGGTGGACTGTGTGGTTTTCCCTCAGAAAGGAAGAAGGTAAAACTGACTTCGCCCCTGTATGGCCTCAATTTTTTAAACTCATTTTTCTTCGAACTCATTTTCTACCACACATTTCATGGGATCCACGATTATTTCATGTGTCAACAGTGCAACAACAGGTCAAGAATTACTTCAAATCTGTAGACCAAACATGCAGCATTGTCCCAATGTGGATTTTTTATTACTTGAAAATTGTGCTTTTCTAAAATGGCCCTCTAAGAATAACAAAAACAGCATATTTTTCTTAAAAATGCCCTTTGTCATTACATTGGCAACTATATTCTTAATATCATAAGTCCACAAGTCTTTCTATCATTTTCATGTCCAATAAAATATCATTTTGATAGTTTGTAAAGTACTCAGAATACAGTTTTCCAGGATTGATTTTTCGAAACTTGTCGCCATGCTAGCATGTGTCTTCTTTGTAATGTATCTAAATGATATTTTCATTGTGTTATCTTCTGTTTAATCATATTCTAATAACAGACCTCACCCTAATGAATGCTCCGGGAGTGATTTGGATGGAGACATTTACTTTGTTTGTTGGGACCCTGACTTGATTCCACCAAAGCAAAGCTCGCCTATGGATTATACCCCAGCTCCAAGCACACAACAGGATCATGATGTGATAATTGAGGTACGGGCATATTAATGTCGTTCTATGTAGAAGTTGCATTTGAAACCATGCTGTTTTCCACTTCTGTTATTTATAATTTATAATAACCATAAGATGTGGATCCTTCTTAAAGAGCCGAAAATGTGACGTAAGAACTGCTATATCCTTCTACTTTTCATCAGATCATTGTCAAGGTTACTTACTATTAACATGATATCTATAGAACTCATATGTTGTTGCACTTTGCTGTTATGTTCTTGGAGTGAACTCTCTATCGTGGCATTCTTTATGTTGACTATTGGGTCTCCTTTTCCAAGTTCGGGGAATTATTGCTGAAAGACCATATTTCCTTGAGTTCCACCTTTTACTTTCTAGGTTCTCTGTTTCCCATCTCATTTCTTAACTGAGTATATGATTATAGATTTTAAACATCCTTTAATACCTATCACGGTGTAAATGCATTAACCCTTCCCATATCCCAAGAACATGGAACTTTATGAAAGTTATTTGTTATCTAACTGATGATGGCATCTTCAGCATGAACCCTGTTTGATTTAACAAATTAATATATAGTTTCTATTATTTGATTAGTGTTATTCTTCCATTTGGATGAAACTCCCGTAGTCTTGAGTCTTGACAGCTGTACGACTGCATGTTCAACAATTCAAGTCATAAAATAAGTTCAGTTGTCGTTAGCAGTTAAGATTTCTTATATTGGAACGAATGAACATTCTTCTAGCTTTCACATGATTTGATTCGGCATAGCAGGCAGAGCAATCTTCATTGTGATCTCATACGCGTTTACATGTCGTGTTTTTGCAAATTTACATGTACAATGCTTTGCCAATCTGAATATCATCGTGATTTCAACACAAGTTAGTATTCAGTTTATACCTTTTACTGTGATACAGGAAGTTGAGGAGTACTTCACCAATTATATTGTGAACGACAGTTTAGGAATCATTGCCAATGCACATACTGTATTTGCTGATAAAGAACCGTGCAAAGCATTCAGTGAGCCTTGTATAGAGTTGGCAAATCTGTTCTCCATTGCTGTCGACTTTCCAAAAACCGGTGTTCCTGCAGTAATACCTCCTCAATTACGTGTGAAAGAATATCCAGATTTCATGGAAAAGCCTGACAAGACGACATATGAATCAAAATGTGTGATCGGAAAGCTTTTTAGAGATGTCAAAAACATCGCCCCCCACACTGCTCCAATTCAATCTTTTACCTTCGAAGTGGCAATGCAGTCATATGATCCCGACATGGAAGTAGATGGGTTTGAAGATTACATTGACGAAGCTTTTCACTACAAAACTGAGTACGATTACAAATTGGGTAATCTGATGGATTATTATGGCATAAAAACCGAGGCTGAAATACTGAGTGGTGGTATTATGAAGACCTCAAAGATTTTTGATCGAAGACGAGATGCAGACGCCATTGGTGCAGCTGTGAGGTCATTGAGGAGCGAAGCTAGAAAAATGTTCAAGAAAGGAAGCGAATCGGATGATATGGATGCAAAAGCATCGGCTTGGTATCATGTCACTTATCATCATGAATTTTGGGGTTGCTACAATGAAGGACTGAATCGGGATCATTATATCAGTTTCCCGTGGTGTGTATACGATAAGCTAGTCCAGATCAAGAAGGACAAGTCCAGCCTTAGAAGGTCTCTCCAAATGTCTTCACTTGAAAGGAAATTCAAGCTTCGTATGAGTTTCACCTAAGAAATCATCCTTTCTAGCCTATAATATGCCTTTTTGAGTGTTTGATATTAACTATAAACTGTAAATTGATTATAAAGACTCCTGTTTGTATCTAAAAAGGAGCCAGATGTGCTTGGTATGACATTGTGTTTTGTGTAGATATTTTTGTGCATGCATGCTTGTTGAGATCTACTATTTAATTTTTGTTGTCCATTTAATTAATTATTGATACATCATTTTAAATTAACATGTCATCAATTTGGGTAGTTAGTGGTGAAGTTAATGAGGATAAATTTGAGATGACTTGTTAATTTAAAAATTATGTGTCAATAATTAATTAGATAAACAGCAAATTAGACAATAAAAATTGGACAGTAGTTGCACAAGATTGGCTCCCACTTTCACTTCTTTTTTGTCGAACCTTATTTGTTATGAGGCACGGTCATTCTATGACTACGTGTTCGTGTCCAACAATCCCTAGACACTCAAGGAGATGTATCCAGTAAGTCGTGCTTTTGTCCTATTTCTTTTTATATATTATTAAATTTATCAATGCTCGAGACGTAGTTTACAGATACCTCTCGACTGATCAACCGTCTGAATTACTCATGCAACAAGTCACAGGTTAATTATATTTCGGTGATTAGTCAAACAAGTCAATTTAAACTATCTTGAAATACCGCAGTTATGCCAAAGTAGTAAATAAAGCAATAAATAACACCAGAATTGTTCACGGAGAAACCCAACGTGGGAAAAATTTCGGACACTTTGCCAGTCAAAGATCCACTATAAACTGTCAATATAACTTACAGACCACCAGTAAAGTTGACAACACAAGCTTTCTGATCTCCTATCTGAAATATGAAGCAACCCTCCTGAAATGTGCACACCAACACCAATCCTGGCTCTTCTTTGTAAAGCAGTCATCTTGTAATGAGCACACGAACTCCAATCCTGACTCTTTACGCAGTTTATCTCCTATAGATCTTCCCCAAGAACTCCTCGTTCTTCAAACTCTTCCTTGATCTTTAATGCAGCACAATTGACGACATCATCTTGCAGCAGATCCAAGCGAAGAAACTAATTCAGTGTTTGATCTGATAGCTTTGATGTTTTCAATAAAAGAGGCACATATGAATTGAAGGATTAAACTTTGGATCTATCGTATGATGTATTCTTCTTGAATATTATGTTGTTCAATCTCTCATTCAGGAAATACATCGCCTTCAATATATAGGTTGGACGAATTAGGTTGTATGGGCCAAGTAAAAACCTCGAAAAAGGAAAATTAAGTTTTTCAGTATAATACGTTGCTCGAGCAAGAGGGCTTCTTCGCTCGAGCGACAAGGGGCGAACATCGAGCGAAGAACTTTCTGCGTCAGTTGCTCGAGCAGCACTCCGGCAAGTAGTTAGCGAAAATTCAGCGTGAATTCTTCTTGTTCCAAACATATAATCCCAAATCCTAAGCTAATCTACCAACTATGAAACTTTACAATTTAGTCCATAAACTTTTATAAATGTTCAAGTTGGTCAATTTGTTCACGAATCACCAATACAAAATATAAACCTAACAAAGTCCCCCTTTAACATTCCGTGACAAAACACAATACAAAATAACAACAACCTATCCAAACTACCCAAGTCCAACAAAAACAACCAATGCTGCTTCCACTTTGTTAATCATGTATCCTGAAATCAAAAACTCACATACCAGTATAAAAGCACGTGATACAGGAAATAAACAATAAAGTACTTAGAAGCATAGTCAGCGAAATAAGCAAACTAGTTTAAGATGCAGTATTAATGTTAACCAAGACACCATAAGCACATTAATATCATAAAACATCAAGAAAAACTCAAACAGTTATGCATGAAATGCAACACAGTTGCAATGCGCATGCTCCCTCTCAGTGCATGATATGCAAAGCAAATGTAATACCACTACTACAGACTCTTAAGTGTTAAAGCGTAGAACATGTATATATGTTTCTCCCCAACGACCCCACAAGATATATGCAAAAGATCAAATCAAATGTAAAACATAAAGTGTCTATACAGTATCTATGTCTCACCCCAACGACCCCTCAAAGACATATGATAAATATCAATATGTAAAAAGCTACTCTAGACATGAAATGTCTATATATATCTCCCCCTTACTATGAAATTCTCCCACTTTTTGTCACAAATGCCGAAGAAATGGAGCAAAAACACACAACAAATGACAATGAAAATTCCAATAACTAAAGAAGGACTATAAAAAGTTTATACGATAACAAGAATCAGCTTAACTGCTATCAACACAAATATCAATGTCAACTACAGCAGTATCCCTATCTATGAGGCAGGAGCATCATCTCCATCCAAACCATTAATCTCATCACTCTCGTACTCCCAGTGCTTTCGCATCCAGCGCAATTGTCATTGAACATCTATAACCTCACCACGCAGCGCAGTGATCTCTGCCCTCGTTTGAGTCACCTCTGCAAGCAGCCGAGCCTTCGACTGATCATAGTAAACATCTGGGCCATCAAGGCGGCCATGAGATCAACAGCAGAAGAGGCAGGAGGGACAGAAGAAGACGTAGAAGAAGGGATACCCGAAGTGTATGGAGCCTCAGATGGCGAAATGGAGGGCGGATCAGCAGAAAGAAGATCATCAATGGGATCTACGGGCACTACTGGATCGGTAGGCTCAACAGGAGTAGAAGAAGAAGAAGCATGAGATCGATTCTGCGAAACGGTAACAAGACCAATCGGTCCACCTAACCGACAAAAAGGACATTCGGGAAAGACAACGTAAAGGGTAGTGACCAAATGATGAATAAGACAAGCATAAGGAAGACCTATCCAACGATCAGGGCCTCGGAAAGTGCTAAGAATATTCTGGTACAAAAAGGTAGGAAGGTCAAGTAAGTCACCGTGAATCAGGGCATAAAGAAATCTAGTCCTATTAGAAGGTAAAGAAGAAGTGTGTGTGAGCGGCCACAGGTTCGTGCACACAATACGCAACAGAACCTGGCGCTCGGTCGGAAGCGATCCAGTGCGAACCGCAGTCGAACCCCCTGCTAGTGGGGTATCAAAAAGAGTAGAGTAAACTACTGAGTCAGAAGGGCTGGTCTCAGCCGAAAGATAGGGAAAAATCGGGTGAAGAACCGGAGGAATATAAAGAGATGCAACCAAAACATTAGGAGAGAGCCTAAAAGTAGTACCTCTAAGATAGACTCAGAAAGAAGTATCGCAAATCTCGTGGATGTTCGCGAAAAACTCCTGAACTAAAAGACTAGGAGGAGAACCCAACCCAGTCACCAAAGAATCCAAACCCCGAAAAACTGGTAGCAATGTCGGGGGATAGATCTCCTAAAATAACCTCACGCTCACCGAAGACTAGACGATGAGAGAACTGAGAAGAAAAAACCTCATAGGAAGAAGATCCACTTGGCTGTTGAGTGGNTGTCGGGGGATAGGTCACCTAAAATAACCTCATGCTCTACGAGGACTGGACGATTAGAGAACTGAGAAGAAAAAACCTCATAAGCAGTGAAGAAATGAACCGCGACCAACTATACGAAGAAAATCCACTGGGCTGCTGAGTGGTGGTCCTGGCTCTCTTCGGCGGCATTTGGAACATGATTGCAGAACAAACATGTCAAGAGATGCTACGAAAAAGAATGTAGACGACATGAGCAGTCACGCAGTCAGATGCATGAAAATGCGTAAAATGATGTAACAGTGAAGCAAACACGCAAAACGATGCAAGAATGCGACAATGCATGTAAAACGATGCAAATATATATCAAGCACTCAAAACAATGCAAAACGATGTAAACATATGTCATATGTACACAAAATAATGCAAACGTGTTAAAGTAGGCAGTGCATGAGCATAGTGTAGTGACTGCAGTGTCATGTCACTAAGTCAAAACTTAAGTCATATCGACTTCAAAACGACATGTGAGTGCATAGATATGTTTATAGGATGGAATATGACTTGTGTGTGCAAAGTGATGCCTGAAAACACATGAACACTTGGCGTGCAATGAAGATTCAACACATTCAATGCATAATCCAAAGCACCCATGGCCAACCCATCATCCTAGCATCACAACCTAGTATACCATCAACTAAACATATCTCAATCTCCATCAAAATTAACAAAAACCGGGCAAAATGCAAGTGATATGAACCACATTCAATGTAATGTCCAAAAACCATCAAAGTTATGCACAAATCGATTTACATTGATGAAATAGCAATCCCATATCATTAACCAACTCAAAACTTGTGGAGTGAAGTGAAAAATTAAAGCAATTAACCACGAAAATCACAAAACCCCCCAAAATATCTAAAACTAGGGTTTTAAGGATTGACCTTTGAAATTTGCGAAATTGATTGATGAAATTGATGGATATGAAATCCCAATTGAGTCCCCACACACTTAGTTTGAAGAAAATGGTTCGATGTGATGAGCAAGTGTAGAGAAAAGGGAGAAAATTGCGAGAAAATTGAGTAAAAATTAAGGTTCAGTCATGTTTTAAAAACAACCTTCGCTTGAGCGAGGGTCGAGCGAAGCTCGTGCGAGAGTGACTTTGAAAGTGTCGCTCGAGCGATATTCGAGCGAAAGCTCAAATGTCACAAATAGCACCAGAATTTTGAAAAATCTAATTTTAAGAACAATTTTCATAAATTGACAAATATAGCCCTTTTTTCAAAACTTTCAATTTTAGCACCACTCGATTTTTTTTAAAATAAACACATGACACGAACTTCAACATATTGGTCAACTAGAAAATGCAGTTGAACATAAATATGTCAAATTTAAGATTATAAGTGATGTCCCACACACATAGATCAAGTTTAACTGGAGTAAGTTGTATATGTGACTCTCGTGTGTAATGTGTCACTAATTCCAAGTAAATCACACTCCACACATTATTTTTGTGAGCATG